CCACCTGTGACTATGCAGGTGCTTCTTTTCACCAACCCTCCCTATAGGGCAGCTTTTCCTTCCTGCCCATGACCTGTACCATGCCAGGACTTCACTTCACTGACCTCTCTCACTGGAGGCAGCTCTCCTCAAGGTCACCCGCCTGCAACCATGCAGTCCTCTCTCAGAAAACCTGTCCTTTTGGGGCAGCTCTTTCTGCTGCTTATGTCTATGCAAGTGTCTTTCATCTTCCATCCCTTTCCCTAATAAACCTGTTCTTTAAAATATAACTAATGTCTCTGTCTCGTGGAAAACTCACCTAGGAAACTTGCCTGCATGTCGCTGAAAGGAAGCTCTGGTGAAACCTTCCCAGAGTGAATCTAAGGACCCAGCACATACAAGAAACCCAATAGGATTTATTTAATAAACCAGGAAAATACAGAGTTACTGAGGCCAAAAATGGCCTTTACCTCACCCAAAGCTGTGTCCAGTGTTTTCAAGCAAAACAAAAAGCTAACAAAAAGCAAATAGTATCTCTCCCACCACTGAGGACACAGAGCTCCTCTGCCAAACAATAGGCCAAGTGTCCAAGATGGCGTCTTCCTGCCACTATGGACAGGATCTAACTCATGAAGACAGCAAAAGACACAACAGGAGATGTGGAGCTGCTGAGATGCCCCAGCACAGCACCAGACAAGCAACACTCAAAACAGCAGTTGCAGGGTTTGAATGACCTGAGAAACAGCCACACTTACCATCTCAGGGAGGCGCCTAGCTCCAGGTCTTCGCCTTTTTCTGCCAGGCTATAATAGCAGTAAAACGGGAACAGTTTCAGTCGCTCAGCTACTTGCAAAGCCTCCAAAATTTACTATCTGTGGCTGGCTGCTGGAGGCCTCCACCTTGAGAGGCCCACAACAGTCTTCTGAATCCAAAACACTGAATCCTCAAAAGCTGAATCCAGTACACTGAATCCTTAAAAACTGAACCACACTAAATCCTAAAGACGGAATGAATCTGCAGCTGCTTTTCCAATCCTTTATATTTCTTATCTGTCGCTCCACCCTTTGCAATACTTTTTAGCATTTTTCCTGGGGATCTCTCTTCACCAGCAACCTCCCTCCCAGGGGCACCACCTGTAACCATCTTTGGCTTCAGCCACTGGTTACAGGATCAGTGTTAGCAGGATTAGTGTTAGAAGTTGGGTAACAGTTATGGGTGGAACCTTCCATGACCACTCCACTGCCCCCTTCTTGTCTTAGTTGTGTTTTTTGTCCCCAGCTAGCTGACTCCACCTGCTTTACCATCTCCAACTTTCACCCATTATTCCATTTCTTTTCTCAAGTGTCCTGGCTAGTTACTTTTGAAAGCCATATTGGGCTTATTACGTTAATATCAAATTCCTTTTCTCTCTGAATGCCAAATCCAATACTCATATCTAACTTTGTAATAAGGTTTCTGAAAAAGTGAATGTGACGTACTTTTCATAAATTAAGTTCTTACCATGTTTGTTAAATTATAAGCTGTGAAAAAGTGTCACATATAGTTATATTTGTGCCCCTACGGAAAATGCACTGATAACATGGAGAAATCTAGTTTAGTAAATTGGTTGATGAATAATATTCCAATGTATTTTCTTACTCTCAGAGAACATGAGATGTTTGAAATTAGAATTAACTTGGACCATGATATCTGATTTTTTTAAACCTTAAAATAGTTTCATAAAACCTTAAAATAGATTTAATAAAATATAAAACTGTCCAACTAAATATTCCAGCTGGCCCCGGTGGCGCAGCGGTTGAGCACTGGGTTGCAAAGCTGCCGCAGCCTCTGCAGCGCCAGTTCAATCCCCGGCTGCTCCCGGCCACCGAAGGAGGGTCCCACATGGCGCGCAGACCTCTCCTGCGCCCGCTGCTCCCCTCAGCAGTGTACTTCGGTCCTTCTCTGCTCTGCTCCCCGCTCTGGCTCTGGTGAATTCTCTCACCCTCCCCGCGCTTCTGACTGTACCCAGTGCATGTATGAACAAGAAAACAAACAAACAAACAATAAATAAATAAAAACATGCCTCTATAAAAAAAAAATTAATAAATAAATAAATAGAAAAATATTCCAGCTATTTGTACAAAATGTTTTTCTCAATTCCTTTTTACATGTATTACAAATGTATTCAAAGAGTATAATATTAAATAATAAATATATTTGCCAGGATGTCTGATGTTGTAATTCAAAGTGTTTCGGTGAATCATTGAACAATTAAAACATGGCAAAAAATTAAGAGAAGAGTGTGTCTTCAACCCTGTTCAGCTTTGTTTCCCAGTTTCCAAATGCAGGATTAAAGACAAAGGTAAGTAGGAAATTTTATAAAGGTTGAAGTATGACCTCAGAAAATTAAGTAGCACAGAAGAGATCATTCACATTTCAGAAAATGTTAACCTGGGCATCAAAATAAACTCATCATGATGAAAATACATCCCTAAAGATGTGAAGTTGGCAGAAATTTTTAGAAATTTTTGACAAGATGAAATGTATAATCATGGTTGAACTTTTGGTATTAAATGAAAGAAAATATAAAAAGTGTCTTTAGAAAGTTTAACAAACATGTCAGTGTATAGTTTAACAGTGCTTACAACTCATCTAATGAAAATGACTTGCAAGAGTAATGTATTGAAAAACTGTATTACCTTAAAGTAACAGATTTATGCTTTACTCCTGATCACTAGCAAAATGAAAATGGAAGAGGGATACATTACTAAAGCAAGAGATACTAAACTATAAACAAAGCCCACACATTACAGCAACAACAAAAGACTTAAGTAATGACTCACCAAGTCCTTCGAGTAAAACAATAATGATTCTAGTAGAAGAAAATTTTAACACTTTAAACAGAAAAAAGGAATGGTATAATCATGACACATTGATTTCATTTCAATCCCAAGTGAATTTCTGAACATCTGTATATGAAAATAGTCTGGGCTGAGTGGTAAAGGTTTTGCTATCACATAGGCCTTCTCCCCTGCAGTTACAGGACATAAATGCACAAAATGTGTATTATTTTACTTACTGAATTTTTTTTTTATCTATTTAACGATCCACACAATGTTTTAAAATCAGGTGTATCTTAAATTGTATCTATGATAGAACAGTTAATATTTTCTTTGGATTGGCAATTTATGAAAAAATCGATCTGCACTTCATTAAAGCATCACTAATATGAGCAAATATAGAAAAAAATAAGTTACACCAGGAAAGCAGAGTTATCATAAGAATAATATCATGCAAATTATTTTCATAATAATGAAGTCGTAACCATTCTTTTTCTTCTAGGGTTGTGATAAAGATGAAATGAGATAACCAGTGAAAGCACTCAGAAAAGCATCTGCACTTAGTAAGTGCTCAATAAGAGTTAGCTATTATCGTTTTCATTATTGTTATTTTCTTATATTCACAGTATGCCTTGGGCTGCCTTCATCAACGTGTGCTAAATATTGAATATTTTTATAATTCATTTACTCAGAAGACACAGTGAATACCTGTGGGTTACCAGGCATTGTATTTGGGACTAGTAAAATTTCTTACATTTATGAAGATATAGGAACATATGAAAAAGACATTAAGTGCTATGAGAGGGGTTAAGGTCAGACTACTATTAGAGCATAAAAGGGAAAGTCACCCAAATGGGATGGAAGATGAAGGCAGCTATGGAAATGGTGATTGAATCAGGCAGGGAAGGCTTTTCAGGTTAAGTGAAATTGAGCCACAAACTATAACACACCGCCCCTTTCTCTTCCACACCCCACCCCTTCCCGCTCCCGACCCAAAGTCTCCTCCATCCAATTTGCATCTAAAGTCATGATATTATTAGACTTAGATAAGCGAGCATTCAGCTGGAGTTGATACAGTCAGAGTTCCTGCACAAACACAGATACCCATCAGAAACCTGGGTAGAGAAATAAATTGACTAGAAAGGAGAGACAAGGACAATTTAGGCTATTTTGCCTGCTTCAGTTCTTTTGGCAATGCTTCATGCTTTTTTTTAATGGTTATCTAGACATAAATGAGATAAAGTTGATAATAGAAGAATATAAATGAAATGTTAAGTGCTCTTATTTTTAAAGCTAACAATATTAGGACCTATTTAGAATAGCATGACGATATACTCTTCTCGTGATTCTCTCTTCCACAAGAGAAATATTCCTGAAAAGAATTTGATAGAGAGAAAAAAAAAAATCTATAAAAGAAGTTGTCTTTTTTTCTCCAAGGGAGTTATACTTCAACACAAAAAGAAAAGGAAATAAAAGGGTTCTTCAATTTATAGGACAACTTCATACACATGAGTTTAAAAACTGAAAAGACATTTTGTCTTATAGCAAAATTAAAAAAATTAATATTTCTTTCTTCAAATACTATATGAGGGCCTCCCAGGTGGTGCAGGCACTTGAGCACAGCGCTGTGAAGCTGTCCGCAGTCTCTGCAGTGTGGGTTCCATCCCAGCTGGCCACTGAGATACCCACATGGCATAGTAGCCCTCTCCTGCCTCACCCGCTGTTCCCCTCAGCAGCATATTTCAGTCAGTCTGCCTGTTCTGTTCCCCACTCTGTCCCTGGTGAATCCTCTCACTTCCCACACATCTGGTCTGTACCCGGTTCTCGTATGCATGCATAAACACATCTTTAAAAAACAAACAAAAATAAATACTATATGAGCCTATGAGCCTATATGAGCCTATAATACTATATGAGCCACTCATTAATATTAAAAATTTAAATATATCAATTGCTTTGCCTCCACATATTGGGTCCACACTAGTTGTCCTTTTATATAATGTCCTCCTATAGTATATACTCTAATAGAAAACTTTCCCACATAATATATAATCATATATATAAAAACCCTGCAAACAGATTATGCTAGTAATTTCAATGATGTCATCAAGATAATGATTAAATGTTTATGGAACTAACAAGGTACAGTGTTTTCGTAAATTTGCAATGCGTTTGTTCTGTTTCAAACAATGAAAGGAGCTATTTTGTGCTATTCAGTATATGAATCCCTGTGTCCCAGTTTGTGAGAATAAGGCTTGTACAATATTCCACCTAATATAAGGGAGGCTGTATATTATAGGTCTGCAGACTGTATCTGGTACTACTGACTTATATTTTTTTTTATACACTGCTGTTATGTATTTAATATTTTTTTTCTCTCTCCAGCTATCAGGCATTAGGATATCACAGAGGACTAAAGGTTTTGGGGGTTAATTATATGCCTCTTATCTCCTTCCCATTGAAGTTGCATTCACTTTCTCCAGCACTTATCAATCTCTCAACATTTACTACATGCATCGTGTTCAGTGTAAAATCAATTATGTGGTCAACTTAACTGGTACTAAGCAACTGGGTCATGTTTAGTCTTGTTTCCTTGCCTCAAGCTGCTTCACTCACAGAAGAGCTCATTCTCCTTCTTAAGCATGCCAACCACATTCTTGCCTGAAGGTGTTTACACTGGTCTTGTTATTTATTCAAAATATTCTTCCCCTAATATTCTCATGGACTGCTCCCTTATTGTGTCCAGTTTATCCAAAGCCATTTTCTTAGTAAGGCCTTAAACACGAATTAATTATTTAATTCTGCAACCTCCAGACATGGCTGAACGCCATTCTCTATTGAGTAATACCATTCAAATATAACTGTATTATTTACTTATTTTGCTATTACAGTTTATACACCCCACTAAGATATATATTCTTTAATTGTGTCTCACTTTTTTTTTAAAGATTTAGTTATTTATTTTATACAAGCACTGGGTACAGTCAGAAGTGCGGGAGGGTGAGAGAATCCACCAGAGTCAGAGTGGGGAGCAGAACAGGCAGACTGATGAAGTACACTGCTGAGGGGAGCAGTGAGCGGCAGGAGAGGTCTGAGCACCACGTGAGAACCTCACCGGCCAGTCAGG